CAACTGGACTATTTTTTCTGAAAAATAGTTTTAAGACTTGCATTTGGCTTCATTAATATAAGAGTTTTATTTACTAAAATTTATAGATTACAAAACAATCTTAATATTTAAAATAGTATATATATATATATTCCTATATATATATATATATATATATATATATTATTACTACACACACATTATCCAGTCCTTACAACTTGTCTAAGAGAATGGCTTTTTTTTTTTTTTACTATGAGGAGATCTAATGTACAACAATGAATTCATAATCTTGACAGAAATGTTAACAGATTCAGAATTTGTAATCAATCTATGATTAATATTCACCACTGAATCAAGTGCATTGGCAAATAAGAATATTTGTATGCCACAAATTACGAAGTTACTCATATTCTTCAATAGTTATGTTTACTAAGACTGTTAGTGTTCAAGTTTAATTTCTTTCCTTCTTCTGCAAGTGTTTTCCAAGAACACAGACAATTATTCAGACCCATTTCCTAGTGTTTGTCTCACATTTCAGATACTTTCTAGTCTTCAAAAGTTTCAGAGACTATTGTTACGACTACACAACCAGCTGTTTTTATGTGACCAATGATATCAAGTATTAAATATATGAACACTTACAATTACCAACTACATGTAAACAGAACAGTTATTTTTAAGTTAACCAATTGCATTTGATCCTGTTAAGACTAGCGCTTTTCTCTCATTGCTGCCCACTGACTATCATTACTTTATCTTACAAAGATATTTGTTTTCACAAGTTTAAGCACTGTGCATTGAAGAACCTGTTGAATGAGAGTGTATTCCGGAATTATGAGAATTTCTAAATACGAAAATTCTACACGCATGTAAATCATTTCAGGATAATTCAAAGACATGTCCAGACCAGACTGGATCCCGACAAGCAAGTTGGTCTTTGATAAGCACCTTGAACTTTTCCTATTTTGATACAATTATTGGTTCTAGACCAGTGGTTTTCAAACTTTTTAAAGTTCGGAGCACACTTGAAATGCTACCAATAATTATAGGTGCACTATATACAAATTTCGGAAAAATGTGTTATGAAGTCAAATATTGCAGAAAAGAAATATAATGCAATACAAAAATAAAATGAAACATACCTAAGTTTATTCATTCTTGTGTTTATGAGAAACATGAGCCTGATGAGTCTTTTAGCGATTTTTTAAATGTTTTACTTTTGGGCGTATATTTGATAGACAAAAAAGTCATTTCTTTGTCAATACCTTGAAGAGTTCCTCTCTTTTTTTTACACTTAATTTTGGTGAGAGCAGACAAGCCTAATTCACATGAACGAGAAGGGTATCGCAATATAGCCAACATATTTATTTATTTATCTGGACACATATCTGTGGAAGATGCCAGGGTGCACCATTTGAGAACTACTGCTCTAGATATCTACTTTTTCGGCATTAAATTATGTCAATAGGTGCTACACAGTTACCTGACCATTTCACACAAATTGATAAATCTTTCAAAAGTAATTTAGCATGGATACAACAATACAGCGTAGTGTACAAGCATGATAGATTTTTGCTTTGAAGTGAAAGACCCTCAGAGGATGAAACGAGTCAGCTAAGTTTTTCTTTTTTCATATTTTAATTTTAGTAATAGTGTACGTACAGTACATCATGTGTACAGTGTACACAGTAATGGTGTAAAACATTTTTTAGTTATATTTTGTTCAAATGTAATTTTCTTGAAGAATTGTCAAACATAAATAAATTCTTACTACAGTACTGTAAAGACAAGCTTGTTCGATGACCGGAAAAATGACTAACGCATACCAACGACGAGTTGACATTTAAATTCTATAACTTATGAAGGGAAGGGCTATTTCCCTATCATAAAAAAAAATTCCAAAGAAAAACCTCAACCAACAGTCCTGTGCTATATCCACTGAGCTTCAACCAGAAATGCAGTTTTCTTTAATCAAACTTTGTTCATGTTCTCCTCAACGACAATTTCAATATCAAGTTCCGACAAAACCTGGATTAAATTTCGTAAACAAAATAAATACCTAATTCATTTTTTTGTATTAGCAGCTTTCATTGATTGAATTAAAAGCCGGCAGAACCCGAACAGTCACTTTGGCTTTGACCTCACCAACTTAGTTATAAAAGGCAACAAGTTTTGAGATGTAGCTGATGTTTTTAAAATCAAAATGATTCGCAAGAGACTTATTTGCGTTTGCAATAATTTTCCTAACTATACCCTGAAGGATTTTTTTTTTTACACCTACGTGTTTTGCCCTTCCTGATACACAAAAGAAAACATTGAAAAAAAAAAAATAACATCTTAGCTCTTAAACTTCTAACAGAATAAATAAAAGTTAGAAAATGCTCAAAGCAGTAAACGACATTTGACACAGTTTAATTTTCTTTAATATCCCACACGTCAACATTCGGTTTGGGAAGTGTCAACTTAAAAAAAAAAAAAAAAAAAAAAAATATATAATCTCAAAACATTTTTAAGTCTATTTGTGCAGATTAAATTTTGTTCAGTTTTATAAAAATCATGTTCTTAAGAAGAGTCAAGATTTGGGTTTGCTCGAAAATACGAGATTTTTTTTAAGATATCTAAAACCTAACTTTCATTAAAAAAAAGGGGTTCAATATAGAAAAAATATACTATTTTATTTATAATTCATCCCAAAAATTTAAATAAAACAAGCGATTTTAATGTAAAATAGGTTATCGTCTTCTTAGTCTTAAACGAATTTTTATTTGTAAAAATTAAAAAAAAAAAAAACTCATTCATTACGATTGAAACAACGAAGATACATCGTTTTTCGAAATTTAAGACTTATTGGTTAGTTTACAATACATTACAAGATATCGATATTTTTATTAATTTGTTTTTAATGTTTCAGTTCCATTCAAAGTTAATGCTCGAGTGCTATCTCCTATCGATAGGAGGGTTCATAATGTCTCGATTGAGTACATCCGATGTAAAAAAGTGAAATCAGTATAAAAAATGTAAAAATTAGTTTTTTAAGCTCTAAAATAGACAACATAAATTATTAGACATTCGTACAGCTAGTGATTAATTATGGGGTGAGGGCATTAGAATTCGGCGACTTTAGATGACAAATTTTCACCGAATAACAGGAAATTATATTTTTGGGTGAATCATTTGTTGTAACAATTAAATGAAAAGTTGAAAACTAAAAAGTTAAATTAAAACAGGATAGAATTTTTTTTAAAATGAAGTAAGAGTTCTGGATTTTTAAAATAAACATTTCCTCAAAAAAAAAAAAAAAAAAAAAAAAAAATCTAAGGCCGTTAGACTAACGATTATATATACTTTTCAATTTTTCATTTTTGTAACCTAAGAAAAATACTTCTACTTCCAAGAAACTATTTTAGAGTACAACTACAGAGTTAAAAAATAAAACGAAAAATTGCATGCGACAATTCTAACAAACATATGGGGTTTTACGTTTTTTTCTGATGAAATTTAAAGTTTCTATTCCAAATCCAGTTTAGTTTGAAAGAAGAAGAAAAAAAGGTTTACTTTGTTTTTTTTTAGTAGACATGTACAAAAGTTTGAATATGTAATTATTTTTAAATTCAAGATTAGGTTTTGAAAAGAATTCATCAAGTGAACATTGAAAGCAAAAAAAAGTTAAGAGTTCATCATGAAGACAAAATAAATACGAAAAACAAAGATTAGAAAAAATAAATCTATACACAATAAAAACAAAACAATAACGTATTGAAAGATTTTTTTATTAAATTAACTTCAATTGATATTGCTTAATTTCTATCAAAATTTTTTTACAAACCACATGAGAATGAAATTATAAAAAACAAGTATACATTTAAAATAAATACAAAAATAAACTAAATAAGCTTTAAAAGACAATCCCGTGTCTGTTCGTGAGTGACAAAAAGCCACTGAATTTTTAAAAACAAATTTCTGAATATTCTAAAGACGAATATTATTAACTTGACAATAAATGAAATGACAAAACAAGCCTAATCTTAAGTGAAAGACGAAATAAATTATTCTAATTTTAACAAATTTCTAAATTTGGAAGAATAAATTTCCCCTTATGTTACTTTTCATTTAAGTGCCTTATCTGTAAAAAAAAAAAAAAAAAAAAAGTCATACTGCCGAGTTTACTACTGCGAATGAAGCTACTTATAGAAATCTTTAAAAAAGTACTTTTTAATATAGAAATTTTAAAAAGTTCTGACAATCGCTACAATACATTAAATGAGGTATTTTAATTTTAAGTTTAGTTTCACAAACATCCAGAGAAAGCAAAAGTTTTAAATTTACTACATAATTTTTTTTTTTTAATTAATCACGATTTGTTTAAATCACAAATATTGGTTGAATTTTTACAAGTTCGATTAGGTGTGTTTTGATTTTAGTTTAGGAGAATCATCTTAAAAGAAGAAAACCGTTCAATGACATGAAAAAAAAAAAAAAAAAAATGTACCCGAGTCATGGGAACAAATTAACACTTTTTTTTTTTTAATACCTACTTAACTTACTTACTCGTTCGAAAACAAACTCAAATACGGGTAAATCATTCAAATAATTCTTTTTAAATTTAAATTCACAAGTACAACTTTTTTTTTTTTTAAATTAGAAAAACAATAATATACACATTTTAGGAGGGTTTACCCACCCATCTCACTATCGACGAAGAGATTTTTTTTTTAAAGCGTGGAAAAATGTGTTTTAAGAAAATTTCGCATTAAACAAGTTTTAAATTGTTTTAAAGCTATGTTATTATAAGGTAATATGAATGGAAATAACAGGAAAAACTCAATAGGACATTTTAAAGCAACGATCTCAAAATCCTTTTCGCAAGGATTGTAAGTAGTATTATTAGAGAAGTTTTACAGGAAATATTTTTTCAACCACACTTCAAATGAATTCTATCGAAGTCTTCAAATAAAATATATTCAAAATATTATACAAGACAAATGGGACGAAGATTAGAATAAGATAATATGTCTACTTACATCGGAGCCGTGCTGGGGACATTAACCATGGCCACGGAATAACCAAAGAAGGTTCCCGGTTGACCAGAGTAAACAATTGAGTGGCTTGTATCCACATTAAAAGCTAAAGTTATAGAAATAAAAAATTGCAATAGTAAAAACCATGAAGTTATCCTAAAACCATAAACAAGCATTATCGATGATTTTGTTTTGTTTGTTTTATCCAGCCACTCTCCTGCAAATAAATGAAGTGAGGGTGTTGCTTTTTAAGCAACACAATAATCAAGTAGAATCGACTGTTGAGCGCACTGGCTACGTTCTAAATGGTTGTAGTGGGAGGAACGTGGTTTTATACAAGTTGCCTAATGACTCAGCGGTCGCTTCTTCTTTTCTTTTTTTCGTCGTTTTCCTTTCTCTGACAAAAAAAGTCAACCCTAAATAAATACACTTTTTTTTTTTTTTTTTTTTGCGTAGAAAGAAAGGAATATGCCCGGCGCACACCAGTTAAAAAAAATGGTCAGCACCACAGAACCATTCCTCAATGTGAACTGGTATGGTAAAAAAAAAAAAAAAGTATTAAAAAATAAAATAAGTTTTTAAAAGCATTGATTCCTCTTCAGATGTAATTTACTTTCTCAGCTGTTTTTTCTCGTTCAAGCAAATTGATAATTTCTTCCTTTTCCAAAAATTGGAGCTAACTTTTTTTTTTCTATTGTATAAAGAAAGATGATTTTTTTTTTGTCAGTCCCACTCAGTCCTATTTTCTTTCTACTATTTTAAAATTTAATCTGCCGTATATTTTCTTTTATTCTTTTTTTAATTTTTTCTTAAAAATAAAAGACAAGCTTTTTCTATCCAAAGAATGTAGCAGGATATAGAAAACAAAATCGAGTTAAAAAAAAGAACAAAAAAGGAAAAGGCATCCCTTTCTTCGTTTTTCTTTAATTATATTTCATTTCTTCGGTTCGTGATTTTACACTTTCATTTACCCTCTTTCAACCCTTTCTTTACCATAATTTGCAGAAAACCACATTTTAAGAAGAGAATGTAAAGAAAAAAGAAAAAAAAAAAGAAATACGTCGGAAAATTAATAAATTTTCGAAAAAGCATGACACTGACAGAAATTCCCCGAAAATATGTTCTTATTAGAGAGAAAAATCTTACTTTCGAATTAATTGGAAAAATGTTAAACTCTCTAATCCCTGACAATTATGACTATGAGCTAAAAAGTTTTTTTTTCTTTAGAAATCATTTAAATGGATTATTTAAGCTAGCGTAATTAGTCTGGCACATGTAGAGCACTCAGTGAAAATTGAATTCACTACAGTACTAATGACCTGCTCAGTTAACTTATGAGAGGCACATAGTGGTATTTAAACTTAACTTAGTGTAGATTTTTTTTTGGTGGGGGCGCTCACATTGAATTATCCTCACTGCAGGAGTAATGGTACAAAGCTAGGCTTAACTTAGCAGCACAAAACCAGAAATGGAGCATTCAGTGAGAAATTAACTCACTATAATTGTAATACCTATCCTGGCACAAGATCAGATACATGGTGCACTCAGTGAGGTTTATACTCACAGTATCAGTAATAGTTTACAAGATTTGATTGCTGACCCTTGTAGTAAAGTTAGAAAGAAGTAAAGTAAAGCCAAATGAAGAAGCCATTATTTTTTATGCATACTAGTTCAGACCCATTGCCAGAGTGTAAGAATTTGCACACTAAAATTAGTTCACATCAGTTTCACAGTGTGGATGGAGGGATTTCAAATGATTTTTGAGGGCAAGCTGCTCCCCACAAACCCCTCCTTGATGACAAACCTGTACATCAGTTTAACTCAATAATTATGTTGTGTAACTGACTCCCAAGAGGATGCTTCCCTGATAACTACACTCTTAATCTGTAATTTACTAATTAATCTGTAATCTACAATTTTAAGTCTGTAGTGAATGCGAAATAATAATTCACTTTACCCACCCTCTTCAAATTTGGAGAACTGGGGAAGAAAAAGAAAGGAATTTGCAAGCCTATGTGAAATTTTATTTGGACCAATGAAAGCCTTGCCTTCACAAAAAAATGACCAGTGTGCTGAAAGGAAGAAAGAAAAGAATTTGTGAGTCTATATGAAATTGTTTTTAGACTAATGGAAACATTGCCTTCACAGAAATTATCTGGTCAGCCATGAAGAAGAAGAAATGAAAGTAGCAACCCTATGCAAAATTCTTCTTGATATATGAGGAGAAAAATTAAATAAATCTGAGAAGCATATCTGAAGTCATGTATAAAGTTTCATTTCAGTTCCTCACAACCAGCATTGAAGTACTCATCAGTGTAGAATTACTCACTAATTATATTATCAGCCTCTAACCAGCATGCAGAATTTCAAAGAATTTTCTTTGAACAATCCAAGAAAGCTAAGTATTTCAAACTATCTCTCTTCATCTACTTTTGAATGTGTGCAAACCATATACCCCTTCAGTGAGTAACAAATTGTCTTATATTTGACTTAAATATTTTTTAATATTATTTTGTGTCAGATCATTTAATCTGTTGTATGAACATTTCCTATTCATGATAATACATTAAAATTATGGACTTAATTATTTTCCTGAAATGTTCTACTGATTACTCCAAGCATGTAAATTTGTTAATAAATTTCTTATCTTGTTTCATTAAAATTACTCATGTGTTTCCTCGTCATTATCATCTTTCGTTAATCTTCTTGGTGTAGGTAAATCAACTATTCATTTTAATCCCTAAGCCCCATGCCGTTATAAGTCTAGGATCAACTGTTATCTTCCCCACATATCTCCATAAACTGGGACTCTTATAATGTAACTCTCTACTTTGAGTGGCTCTTGGATCTTTTACAGGGTGAACATCACTGTAAAAATAAAAAATCACAAACCAGTACTACCCTTAAATATCATATCAGATTTTATTATACAAGTTAGTGTTTTCACTATATGAATCAATCAATTATACAAGTTAGTGTTTTCACAATAAAGTTGATATGAATCAATTGATATTAGTACAATTTTCAGCTTATTTATATAAGCAATATATCATATGAATTTAAACTTCTAATATCTGTCCTTATTAAAAATGTTTATAATAACTTATTTCAGTGGTGTCATGTTTTATTATGCAACTAATATATAATGTAAATTTGGTAAAATTTGTTTTTTGTTTAGTGTCATATCAAACTCTATGGAAAATTTAATGCCAGAATCTAAATAGTTTGAGCATAGTTTTATGACTTCAACTACACATAAAATGTATTGTTGGTCATTTTTCTATAAAATTTATTGTTGGTAATTCTGCTTTAAAAATGTATTGTTGGTAATTCTACTACAAATATGTATCATTAGTAATTTATTTGGTAAAATTGGACCTTCATACATGCAAAAAATCATCCTTTTGACACATCATTTTTTTCAGGCACAAAGCTCCAAGTTTGCTGCAAATTTTTATTTATAAATAAATCCAAAAGATATAGCCCACAGACACATAGATTAACACAATATACCACAAACCTGAATAAAAAATATTTTATTCTTTTGCATGTTAATATGAGCTTCTTGACATTCTATAACTTTCACTAGTGTTTAATTTTGTTAACTTCTTGCTTTTTTGAAAAATTGAGAAAAGATTAGTCATTTGGAACCAAGTACTTGAAAAAAAAAACTGGTCCATATGTCACATAAGAGAGCAGGAGATGAACAAACAGCCAAGGTTAAGACACTTGTGAGTCCCCAAGATCCACTTCTGTTAGCTATTAAATGACGGAAACTAACTTGGTTCAGACATATCATCACACCTAATACTCTGACCAAATCATTATGCAAGTTACAGCTGAGAGAGGCCTGAGCCAAGCAGCTAACACAAGAAATAACTTGATAACATCAAAGAGTGGACAGGAATGTTCTCTCCACAGACCCCTACCCCCCCACCCCCACTGCCACTGGATATTCTATCAACAGCTGCCAACAGAACAGTTTGGAGGTCATCTGTCTTTTCAACACTTATGTCTCCCTGACCACTTTGAGTTGAGGGATTGCTGATGCCAATGCCAAATGTATTTTTACTTGAACATTACTTTAATCGTTTCCCAGTAATACTTGAAAACTGTTTTCTATACTTATATCCATCATTTTTAATGACACTCGTCCTGAGTATGACAATATGCTACATCCAGCATCAAGGCCTCTGATCAGGAGATTGGAGATTTTGAGGAGTATGGAACCACCTCTTAATTGCTGTTATTCCCAGGTCTATCTTGACCCAGGGTGGTAGCACTTGTTAGGGTACCAACTATGAGCAAGTAGTGAACACCTAAACAAAATTCAACGGTACATTTTTACAATAAAATGACCAACAATACATTTTTTTTATAGCAAAATGACAATACAACACTAAAAAATATAAAAATACATTTTTATACTAAAATTACCAACAATACATTTTTTTATAGCAAAATGACAATACAACACTAAAAAATATAAAAATACATTTTTATAATAAAATTACCAACAATACATTTTATAATCTATAAAATATATATCTTAAAAATATTTACTCTGAAAGTATAAAATGATGTACAAAATATCTTTAGTTGGAAGCATAAAATTACATAAAAATATTTAGATTTCAGCATTAAATAACACATAGTGGTTGATATGCCAACAAAAAAATCAACCAACCAAATAACCAATATGAAAGAACTCTTTCATGACATTAGTCCCTATAATATCCTACAATTTCTTAAAGAAATCAAACTATTCCAAAATACAGGGTGTTTCCAAAGTCTGTATCACATTATGACACTATATATCTTAATAACTATTGATGATATCAAAACACAATTTACATTTTCTGAAAGATAATATTTCCACATTTCTATACTGGTTTTTACAGGTGTTCAATGTGAGCGCCACGGGTTACACAATGCACATCCTAACGATAATCCAATTCTTGCCAAATGCAACCAAGCATAGCATTGTTGATGGTTGCCAAGGCTTCACTTATTCACATTTTCAGATCATCCACATCTCTGGGAAGTATGTACACAAGGCCTTTCACATACTCCCAGATGAAGAAGTCATATGATGTGAGGTCTGGA